GAAAGAGAGAAGAAACAAAGAGAGAAGAAACATGCAGGAGGAATGGATGGCTTAAAATTCCTGGTCGTGTAGTATGCGCTCTGAGCTGTCGTTTTGATGGTCCCGAGTTCCAGCCCTGCCCTCCGCCACGACCCCACCGTCACGTGGGAGATGTTTGGGCTAGAATCTTTAATTTTAAAGGCACATCTGAAAAATGTACCGTATAACAGAGAAGGGGGGCAGGGCTCAAGGAGACGAGAGAGGTGAATGATAATAATTCTGCTGGGAATGGATTTAGTCACTCAAACAACTTCAATATCCTAAAAATACACTGGTGTAGAAAACACGAAACTGTGGGAGATGAGTGGACAGAAAAATTTAGAAGTGCAGATCTTAGAGAGGAAGTGGAGATGGATTGGTCACACCCTTAGAAAAGATACCAACAACAGAGCTAGGCAGGCCTTAGAGTGGAACCCCCCCAGGGAACAAGACGCAGAGGAAGACCAAAAAGAACATGGCGACGCAGTGTACTAGAAGAAGCCGAGAAGACCGGGAAACCATAAAAAAAAAAAAAGCTAGCAAGAGACCGTGGGGAGTGGCGTGTTTTTGTCGAGGCCCTATGTTCCATGAGGAACTCAAAGGAGTGATGATGATGATGAACTTCATTTGCACTGTGTTGTCTTGTTTTCGTCTATTGTTTACCAACATTATATACAAGCCTAAATCTAGTTTGCATGTTGTAATAATGTATTTGACGCATGATCCAAGAGGCATTTGTATTAAACGATTAATATTTGCACGCTTTGAAAGATGCAAAGGTCTATTTGTTTACATGATTTGACCCATTGAAGGGTAAGCCTATTCCGCTCACACTAGTAAAATGTAAACAAACATGGCGGACGTCTGACATGACCCGCTACCCCCCATCCCTTTCCTTTCGACCGATAAAATAAATACGCAGCTTGACTCAAGAGGACGAATAAATAACATGGAGTGATCAGGTCTAAAAATAGCCCAAGGCCACATCATTTCTGCGACGTCAACAACAGCTGTCGAACGCGGGAAAGACCTATTAGATCTATATATGTGTCACTAACCTCGGGACTAGCCCGTTTACAATTTAAACTTATTTTTTTAAAAAGGACATGAATAATTTCAGTGCAACGTAAAACACAAGACTTAGTCTGCTATACGAATTGTTAATAACAGGATTGTTTTTAAGCGGGTTATGAAAGTAAAAGAAACATATAAAAGGAGGAACAGCAACTCTCGTTTACCGATGCACAATTACAGCAGACGAAGGCACACGAAGTAGACGTAAACATTAGCAGACGTGAACAGGTGCTGTTTCCCTTTCTCAAATCAAGTAGTCTATAGTGAGAGATAGTGAACTACAGTATTAGAAGGTAGGCTTGAATATTGAGCTATAAAAAATAGACTTAGTGTAGTGTTACTTGACAGTGGCATACCTAGAACAAGCTTTACACACCGGCTACGCCCGATAATGTATTAACGCGTTTTATATTGTAGGTTATTGCCGTAACATCCTTCCTTTCATTTACTAAGCTTACACCAACTCTGTCTGTCTGTCTAAAAGTTTGTACACGTTATTTCTCCAACACTCAATCTCGGATAAAGCTGAAATTTTGCACAATTATTTCTTTTACCTGACAACACAAGAAATCAAAAAAAAAAAAATCAATTAGATAATTAACTATTGATAATAAATTACTTTGTTTGGTATGTCAAACAAGGGAAAGAAATAGTACTTAACTGAAGCGGTGGTATACGCTGAATTAGTCCCCTTTATATATTGTTGTATGAGGCAAATTGCTAATTACAAATTTAATAACATGACTGGTCCAAACTAATTGATACATTTAATATAAGCTATTTTTTATATATATATAGTTTTGCTTGTAATGAGCTTCCAATAATCGGGCCACTTCCAACATACTTTTTAGCCCGTGACTTATTGTAAATCTATATGTTACAGTGTTACGATGAAATAAAACAGACCGCTCTTTTTCCTATCTCACCAAACTCACTTCGCCTGGGGCATCCGATTATCTAAGGCCGGCCCTGATTAAGGTATTTCTTTAGTTTAGACCACCATTTTCAGGCCTAGAGGGGCCTGTAGGCCTGTAGTCTCAACTTGATCCGAGAATGGGTAGAGGTAGAAATGACAAGAATCCATCCAGGCAAGACAGACAGACGTAGAGAGTTAATATATGCCTTGAAAAAATGGAAACATTATTTTATGAATCTATAAAATAAAACATTTTCAGTTGATTAAAGGGACTGATTCTTTAAATGCTTATCTCCGCTAGCCTAACATTGTAAAAGAGTTTTCCATGGTTCCATTTTTTTTTTGGGGGGGGGGGGGCTCTTTAACGAAGTCAGATCTTTCTCGATCTTCTTCTGTAATACAAGTCTTGAAAGCAGAATTTCTCAAACTTCTGGAAGCGCCCCCTTTACGACCGAGAGGCGGGTTCAGCGAGACCGTACGATTTTTAAGTGACAGAAATGTATTTTCATCCATGTTTGATATATGGACAATGGTTGTGCTTGCGCTGGATGTGGGAAAATATATAGGTCGCAGCTGGGGCTCCGTATCTACGGGAAATAATGCATTCCTCATTGATCTTCGGACTCAAAGACAAGCCTTATTATATGTATGTGTATATATATTGTTTCATTTTATTGTTGTTTTTGTCTATTGGGTTGGGTGGATGGCGTCACTGGTAACAGTTTGAGAAACACTGCTTTAAAAAATAGGTTAATCCATGCCCAGATGTTCTCCATCCATAGCCTGATTTTTTTTTCTCCTCGTTTTCTTCCGCCTGTAACTGGACCTTGTAGGCTCGTTAAATTTAAACAAAGCTTCTATGAACTGACTCCATCCTCGGTTTAAATTCCTTTCGCACGTTATTTCTCCCGCTTCCCATTCTCGGGTCAAGCCGAACTTTTGCACAATTATTTCATTGTCGATGTTTGTAAAAATGTTTTGTTTGACATGTTTCGGATGTTCCTTCAGAGTTGAAGATTGTTTGCTTCCTAGTCCAAACCTCCCGCAGGACGACGGGGGGTGGGAGCGGGCAGGGTTTGAACCCTCGACCGTCGATAAATCCGGACGACAGTCCAGCGCGCAAACCGCACGACCAGGCAGCCATCCTGGTCCGATGACAACACATGAATCAATAAAAAATAAAATGAAACAATTAATTAATTAATCAGTAGTAATTATATAATGTTTTATATAGAAAAAGAGAAATAACTCTTGCAGTATTTAAATAAATGGCTGTAATTGATCGATTATTTCCCATATGATAGATTTGTTTTTTTAAGTATTTTTATTAGTTTACATAAGTTCAATATTGAATAGTTTCAGATCACTGTGTTGCGTAAAAAAAAACAGTTCAATCATTATGACAATAATTCTTTATAATTACGCCCCTTGTCTATTGTCTACCAACAGATGCCTGGAACAGTATCAACGTACTATATAGACCATAATCTTGACGAGTATGACTTCATGAGTATGGACTACCACAAACACATCAGATCTGCTCACAGCGGAAAGGGGAGGAGCAAGGTATGTATTTGTTACCTCTTGTGATCTATATGGGGGGGGGGGGGGGGGGGGGGACTGTTAGTAAGCAGAGTAGTCTAATAGAGCTCATTGCTATGGCCAAATTTTGATTCTCTGTGCCCCCGCTGCGGGGAAGAAGAGGAAACCGTGCCTCCTATTCTGTTTGACTGCTCCAGACTTGCTGATCTCCGTCTCGACAGGTCTGGGAAACCCAACATTCTCGACCTGTATGGTGACGTGTATGCACTACGCAAGACAGCAGGGTTTCTGTCCAGGGCTTTTGCAAGAGAGGATTTGAGCCTCTCAAGCCCTCACTCTAATGAAGTTTTTATGATGATGATGAATGGAGCTCATTCGTCAATCGTAAACAAACAACATTTAGCCACTTGATAATATTGATAAAACAACGGAAAAAAATGTCACGTGATAGCTATCGTAATTTGTATAGAAGAGATATTGAATCACGTGGCTAAATGTTGTTTGTTTACGGTTGGTGAATGAGGTCCATTATAAAATTCCGAACTTGAGCTAGTGACAATAGAGTTAGTCACGTGACACACAGAACAATGGCGTTTCAGGGTAGGGACACATAAATGAGCTGTAGGCGCTTGTCTTTAGTAGAGAAGGCATCATCATCTGTCCATTGGCTTTCGTCGAATGTTTGATGTGACAGTTCGCGTGACAAAATCCCTCCACTTTTCCCGGTCAGCAGTTGTTCTTGGCAGACTTTATGTTGTCCAGCCAGCCCTTCTTTGGGGGACCCTTTCTTCGGGCTCCCTCCACTGTACCTTGAAGAAGTGACTTTTGATAGTGAGTCATGTCTTACAACATGACCGAACCAGCTCACCTTTCGTCTCATCCCATTGAGGAGTTTCTCCTTTCCTGGTATCCGATACCCATATTATATTATATAATATATCATGTTATAGGTTTGGTGAACTGACTGCTTTCTATTATTACGGAGTTAGCTGTGACGATCACCCTTCATCCATAAATAAATAACAGTTGAAATTCTTCAAGTACACGCTGTATTACTTTTTCTAGCCAGATTTTTGCTGCTGAGCTGTCAGCTCTTTTGCAGACTGTGCCAAGGAAAAATAGTGCGCTGTTTTCTTCAGTTGTACAGCACTGCCGTACAGGGTGTTGGTTATGTTGGGATGTAGTGGAAGTAGGGTCTGCCTAAGGTGGATTAGGAAGGGGCATTCAAAGAGGATATGGTTTACGGTTTCATAGGAGCGGGCGCAGTTCTGCAAAGGGGTGTTGTGTGGATTTTTTTTTGTTCAGATGGTAATTTAATAGTGGTGTGTGTCCTGTTCTTAGTTGGAAAATTGTAGATTGTACATCGTTTGTTAAGTGTTCTGGCACGATAGAAAATCGCGTGTAAAATACTGTAATCGATTATTATTTAACCAAGTCAGTCATTTCTGAGACAATTACAACGAGTTCTACCGAGACCAATCGCCATAGTAGGCCTGAACACTCACCTGTGACGTTATAACCTAGAGTCAATGAAGACTAATAGCTCATTGCCACGTTGCAGGTCTGACATACTCATAAGTGACATGGCAACGAGCTGTTGGTCTCCACGGACCACAGGTCACGTCACAGGTCAGTAGTCAGGCCTTTGACGATTTTGAGAGCATATGCTCTCACGTAATACACCTTTTTTTGTTGTTGTTTCTACTCAGAGACTCGGAGATGACTTCTTTATCATAGTGAGACCACTCATTTACTATGTCTTGAAAAGGGTTGCACAATTTAATTTAGGGGAGGTAATCCCCTAAAAAATTATTTTTTTACTAATTTAACATATTTTATTTTAACAGAAGGAAGCCATGACCAATACCAACAGATTTGACCCCTCTGGACATTGTAGGAAAACAGTTCAGAAATTAATGAACAATGCCCATAAAAGGTAATTTTTTTTCTATTAATTTGAATACCATCAATGTAATAAATTCACATACCATCTCAGTTTATTTTTAATAAGCCTGTTACTTCCCTTTACTAGTGAACTGGAACTTTGTAAATATAATAGGACTGCTATACTCTTAGTCAATACTAGATTTAGGTTTGAACTAAATCAGATAAAATGGCAAATAAGATCCAATGAACTACAAGAGGATACTGCTGTTGGTCCAATCACCCTCAGAAACAACACCAATTAGTTCTCAACTTTAACTTTAAATTTTACACTTTTGCTATGCCTTGAGCCTCTTTACGAAAGCAGTTCTCATCTTAGTGAACCCTTTATCTCTGGGTTGCTGTTTAAAGGTTCTTCAGAGATATAAGAGACAATGAAAGGGGAGAAAATTATATTTTTAAAAAAATTTGCAATTTTGGTTTTAGTGATAATAGCAATAATACATAAAATACTGAACCATAATGTTCAAATACAAAACCTAGCACAATACTCAGACACCAAGATTTTCTTGTTCCAAATGCTAGGAAACATGTATGCAATTACTCAATTCTTCCCTAATATGGAATGGGTTGCCTGAATCAGACAAAAAAAAACTAATGACTAGGCAGAGTTTAAGTCAGTTGATTAAAATGCATGACTAGATTGACCTAGGGACATGCCTAGGATGCAATCATCTTTTTTTTGAAGTAGCATCTGTATTTTATAAGATAAGATACTGCATGAAAATATTATTATAAGGAAATTAAAGAGAGGAAGAATTCTGAGATGGTGTCTGAACTTTCTTATTCTATTGTATTAAGCTTTAAGAAAAGTTTGCATTAGGGTTATTCATCTCCATGATGGATTTACACCTTGACATTTAAAACAATTTTTTTATTTCTATCAGGAAATGAAATCAAGAAGTGAAAAATTCAAGGACATGCAATACTCAATGATTCTTACAACTGGCCATTTTTATACTTTTAAGAAATATTTTTTATAAATTTTTTTTTATACTTTTCCAAGTCATGACATGTTAGATGTTTTTTTGTTTTTTTTTTGCCTTACAATTGTAACATTTTGTGATAGCAATTGTGATGGATGATGTGACATGCATGATGTGATCATATGACAAGTTTGTTAGATGTTTTGACACTTGATTGTACATAACAACCACCAAAACATCGAACTTTGAATTTTTAAAAAATTTTTATTGACAATTATTGCAACAAGAGAATTGTTTGAATAAAAATATAGTTCTCTTCCATACATTTTATTTTTTTTTTATACAAACAAAAATTCACACATTTGATCAAAATCTTTTGTCCAGATTACACAAAATTTTTTTGTCTAGACTCCAAATCATCTAATAAAGTCATATATAGGGATAAAAAAACAACTCTACGACCTGATGATGGGGAAGCCAACAGTATTCAAGGATGATGTAATGAGCTTCAGTGGTCATTAGATACCTATTTAAAATGGGAGTGAACAGAAGGATTACAGCCTGAGACCTTTGGATAAATTCAAACCATCACTTGAAAATACACATTTAAAATATTTCATATAGATTTCTGCAATCAGTAGAATATATTTCTAAAAACCATAAAATAAGATATCCAAAATAAATAGCTCTGATTTAAGCATGATAATATCACTGTCTTGAAATCACAGATAATATTTTAATTGTAATAAAAAAGATTTAGAAATATATAAGCAGATATTGTAAATAACATACACATCATTATGTTAGCACCTCAGTAACCTATATATTACAACTTTAAAATTTTAGCGTTCTATATAAGAAAAAAAATATACATTCATAATATATTATTAATATGTCTATATACCTATTATCACATATGTACAAGTTAACAGAATATATTTAGACAATGACATCAAGTTTTCAAATTAGATAAATACCAAAAAAAACAAAGGCAAATTGTAAAATAACTTTAAATATTTATATATATATTTCCTTAAAACGTTGAAGCTTTTGTTTTCTTTTATATTATGATGTCTTCAAAATAGAAGAATGACACTCACATAGCGATTCTCCAAAAAGGTTTAATGGTAAATTTCAAATGCTAAAAATTATTGCAACAAAAAAAGGGTGTAAAAGTAGTTAAAATAAGTTACATTTTATAATTACAAGTGACATTCACTATACTATGTAGGCAAAATAATATTGATATATGTATATATAACAATTAATATGTAATAACATAATTAAAATAGACTTTGGACTTCTTTTTATTTTTTTTTACTTTGTTATCTTCAGGTATTCCAGTTTGTTTACAACATTCCTTTAAACCAGTCAATTTTTATCCTACTTTTTTAAACTCTACATCAGTGTTACCTAACTTTTTTTTCTTGTGGTGGTCATATGAATTGTTGACACATTCATCACCTGCCACACCACATCAAATAGTTATTCAGTCCAATGGAACTGAGTCGTCCTTGCTTCATTATGCACTGCACATAGAAGGTATGAGGGGGCTGGATAACACAGTGGTAAACCTTTTACATACTTGAAATTTTACATTTTAACCCAAAGTTGCCAGAAAGTCGTCTGATTAGGGTTCGAACTCAGAACACAGTTCAGAACACGTACCACACAACCAAGGAGCCATCATGCGTCAAGATCTGCGGCATTTAGTCACTAATCACCTAGTTTGTTAAAACTCAACAATGGTATATAGTAATTTTTTAATCTTTTATTGAATATTATTAAATCCTTTGACAAATTCTTTACTCCAAGTGCTTTTGTTTTTCCCCTTTTCCATTGGCACCCTTTGCCTCAATACCAGTTCTACTATCTACAGTGTAATTCTTAACATTTATTTTAAAATTATAACATTAAAAGGGTGAAATAACTATCAAAAGTAATAGAATTTATACTGAGATGATGGTTTATATAAAGTTGTATTAAACATATTTACAAGAAATTTTGTTTTAAAAAAACAACTGAGGGCTTGACATTTAAAACAAAATATGTTTTGAATGACCCATAACCAAATGGCAACATCTGGTTGAAGCAAAAAAGGTCATGTTTTGACACTGTAGGCCTGAGAAAGACAATATGTGTTGCTTAACAGATAGCATATGTAGGTCAGTGATTCTTACATTCATGAAGATGGAAAAACCAGGACAATAATATAGATCTGGACTTAATCAGAAGTAGTCAACTAAACTTATGTATTTATAGACTTCATTGATCAATAAGTGAAGATTAACACTATTCAAGCATTACAAAGCATATTTTATTTTACTTTGGCTATATTTTTTAGAAGAATACCTACATTAATTTCCAAAACTACAAAATTCTCTCCAATTGTACTAAATTGACAAAGTTGAGTAAACTTTAATGAGATTTTATGCTCAATGAAAAAACAATAAAAGTTGTTCAATACTTTGAGAACTACTGAAGACACTTTAATTAAGGGACTAAAGAAGTTATCTCCTTACGTTATAAGATTGTATAAAGTTTAGCTCTCAAAATAGCAAGAGCTTAAAACAGAAGTGTTGTATCAGTTGTTTGTGTGTCTGGGTTTTAAACTGTTAGGCAGATTGGGGAAAGGGGACTGCTGCGCTGATGGGGACTTAGGGGAAAAGCTCTCGCTATGCCTCCTGTAGCTGTGGAAGCCGGCACCAGCCGTATGGATGGCCCCAGGGTGGTTGAACATCTTGGCATAGCTGGTTCCGCTTCCCTGACCACCGTAGCTGCTCAGGCGCCTGATGCCCAAGCTTCCATAGTGGTGAAGTATTGTCTGGTCCTTCTCTTCGTTGGCCCCGTGGCTGCTGGTGACGGGGCTTTTGGGGGAGTGGGGCTCACTCTCATAGCTGAACACTTTGACCATACCATCTGACTGGACCACCACTAGTTTGCTGGACTGGGTCATTGCAATTGCCACTGGTCTCTGCAAGCCAGTCTCCTTGTCTATCACAAACCTACAAATAAATGCACACAAAGTTTGTTGTTATACTTGTAAAATAGTTCTTGTATAGCAGACCTTTCATGCCATATCATGGTCAGTTTGCTAAGATCAAATCTCTTCTGTGCTATTAGGCACTCAGCAAACACAATACAGCTCTAGTTCAGATTCAAACTAAAGTCCCTTTAATAGGTAGCCAAGTGGTCTATGACACCTGATAATCCCATAATTGAGAATTTTTTAGTAAGATAATAATGTATTATTAAAAAATAATATTTAAAAACTATTTTTTTTTTACATTCAAATAAACGAAATACAATTTTATTACAATAATGCTGGTTCTTTTTTTCAGTTTGTCTATGTATATTTTTAATGTATACTGCCATTAAGAATGGAATAATACTAATAAAAAAGCATAAGGACACACGAATGATTGACCAAAAGTAGGTGTGCCATGAGCATATTTTAATTCTTTTTTTTTTAGCCTATCTTCTTAATACTGTTTTAAAAATCTCGTGTTTTACAAATATTCATACTTAATTTTTAAAACAAAAAAAATATGCCTTTGGAAGACCATAAATGGTGTTTATTATAGCTATTTCAAGGGAGACAACAAAATGTGAATGTTCAATGGACTATATTTTGTTGATGGACTTCTCTCCCATTTTCCGTCCCTATTTTATAATTTACAAACAGGAACACGTTCAATCCAACAGAGTCCCTCAGAACCTCAAGTATGTTTCTTTCCTATTTGTAAACAATCAAAATCTGACTGACTTCTTCAGTACAAGTTTCTAGAAATGATTTTTATTTTTTTTACACCGGAAGCCACTGCTCAACTCATGTTCCCCTGAGAAACGCCAAAATTCTTTTTTCTTAACTCATAGCTCTTCTCTTAAGTTTCCTTTGCATATGGATTTGGCAATATTCAAATGTGTTGCTGGTGTTTCAAAAGCAGGCTAGAGTGAATAGTATAGAAACGCGGACCTCATATCTCACATTAATATACAAGGTCTTAAATCTGAATTCCCTTAAAAAAAAAAGTTTAACTTATGCAGGTCAACAAAATGTGAAGAATGAATAACTAAAGATAACATTGACATCAGATACTGATAACATTTTCTAAGTTTCTATAAGATTAAGTTTCAAAAAGAATGAATTGGGAAGTAGAGTTTAACTAGAAGACATTTTTTTTAGGTAATCCTCTTCTTTTTGATTACATTGTTAATATTACAAAATAATAAAAGAAGAGCATAATGGTCTCATCCATGCAGCTTTTAGTGTTTAAAAAAATTACCTCTGAAACTGTCCATTGGAGGTCAAAAGATGAACCCTGCTATTTGCATACTCTGCAACGAATACATTTCCCAACTTGTCACTGCACACTCCTTGTGGCTTTCTAAGGTCATGGTCATGATCTGATGGGTAGGAGTAGAGCTGAGTTCCATCTTGCGACAAACACACTACACAGTTTCCTGTAATATCACTGTAAAAAAAAATTTGTGCAGGAAAAGTTGAAGGAAAAAAAAACTTTGGTTGGGAGAAAGTAGCAAAGTCTTTAGTTGGTAGATGATAAAATAGCAAAGTCTTTGGTTTATATATCAGAAAATTGCTGACTATTTGGTTTATATATCAGAAAATTGCTGACAATATTGTTTGTACATGAGAAAATAGCTGACATTTGGTTGGTACATGAGAAAAAAGCTGACATTTGGTTGGTACATAACACATGTACCTGAAGCTAAAAATTGGAACCAGTGAAATCTGCCCATGTGGAGTATCACCAGAGTATGCAGACCACGTCCTCCAAAACTGCTCTCTTTACCAAGAGGCCCATATAAGACATTGGCCCCAAATCACCCTAATAGAAAGGAAACTATATGGAGAGCTCCCTGATTTCAAAACCACTGTGCAGTTCATCTCATGTATTGGTCTACTCATCTGAACACTCCAACATAACAATGAGAATGAAGAAGAAAAAGAAAGAAGGTTGGTACATGAGAAAATAGCTGACATTTGGTTGGTACATGACTAGCAAAGTTTTTACATGAGTATGCTGGGGGAAAAATCATTTTTTTGCTTCATCAATAATCATGAAAATATTGAAATAATTTAAACTATCAAATATAGGTGCCAACTTTTACATGAAATATTTGACACCTGAAAAAGTAGAAATGTAACTATAAAATCTATGAACCTACAAAAACAAATATGTTGGCTAAACAATAACAATGACTCCAGTGACTGAGCTAAACTTAAAGTGCAAGGCAAAGTCTCCAAACTCTGCTCCCACTTTATGATCAATGCATGTGCCTTTGTGTAATTGGGGATTTTCACTGGTAAACTCAAAAAAAAAAAAAATGTTTTTCTTTGAAATAAGTATTCTCATTTGAACCAAGGCTAAAGAGAAATATGTAGTAAGTGCCACATAATAACCTTTAGATAATTTATTTTTTTTTTTACTTGTGTAATTATCAAGAATAAACAAAATTAAAAAAAAAAAATAATAATATTATACATGTATTAAAATTGTTCAAAAAGTGTAATAATATTTTAGTTGAAATTTAGGACAAAACAAAAACAAAAGAGCTTTCACCTGACTATGTATGTACCCTCTTTTGTAAATGTAACATATCTTGGCGTTTGAAACAATGGATCCCCCGTGCTGTTGTTCACTGACACTGTTCTTATTACCTCCCCTAGCCTAGAAACTACATCCAGGCAGCTGTTTTCAAGGGAACTGGCCAGGAAAAGGCGAAGGCTGGAAGAGTACTCTAAACCATCATACTGTTTCGGCGTGTCAATCTTCCGCTTCATGATAAATTTGGTCAGGGTGGACAGGATCAAAATCTGTTTTCCCACGACAGAGACGGCCACCTCATCCTCACCAAAACTTGTAATGTCCCTGGGCTCCTCACTGAGGGCCAGTTGGTCGATGCGCTCACCTGCGCTTGAAAACTTCTGCAGGACATGACTTCTGGTTAAAAAAAGCAGACAGAAAAAAAACAACTCGTCAAACAAGTTTACTAACAACAAGCCTTGGCACTAGGTGTTTGCTTATAGCATGCTCAGTGCGCAATGGTCCAATGAGGGAGGGGTGTATGGGAGAAGGTTTCCATGCTGCCTTTGGGTTTCAGGTTCAAGCCCTATGGTAAGTAGCCAAGCGTTTTTTGACTCTCAGCCAGGCACTCTTCAAAGGTCTTAATGGATCATCAATTGCATGCTTTAATAGTTTTAAGCTTAGAAAAGCTGGGCCATTGTCACAGCCTCGGTCGACATTGCCTGTTAAATGTTCGCCTCAGGTTAAGACGGTAATAAGACAACGTGAAACTCCTGATATAGAAACAGGCAATAGAATGACAACTGATTTTGAGTTAGTCAGTCAAAAGGTATCCTTTGGTCCAGTGCAGTCGAGTAGTATCTTTAGGTCCGGTATGGACAGTAATGACTTAGAGAGTCAAGCAGTAATTTTGAGTAAAGAAGTATCTTTTGGGCAGTCGAAGCCAGTGGTCACTTGAGACATGTATTTCTAGTAGTTATTATTCTGTACTATTATTATTATTGAAGTATTTGTTACTTGCTGTGATGGGAATGTTGCTTGAAGTCTATTTTGGAGAATTCGACATGTTGGATATATTTGATACCGCTGTTATGCGGATTTGACTTTGTTTCTTATTGGATCATGTAACTAACAAGGAGTGCAGCATTATTATTGTTATCAAGTAAAC